AGGCAGGCCGTGGAAGTATATAGGTACCCCCCCAGGCACTTACGATAGATTCAGGAGGCAGTAGTCTTCAGGATTCGGGAGCAGCACTCTGGAGGGAGCGCTGCAGAGTAGTAGTAGTGTTAGCTTGTAGTCTTCAGCGCTGGGCGCAGTAGGTAGCTGTAGTCTCCAGCGCTGGGCGCCATAGCTAGGATAGCACTAGCAAGAGAGAGAGAGATTGGGCGGAGGCCAGAGGTACTTACCCGCAGCGCCGTTGCTCCAGCTTCGTCTTCGAGGTACCTGCAGCACAGCGCCAACATCACAGGTCAGTATCTGGCTCGTAACAGTGAGAGAGAGTTCTTCTTCTTCCTCTTCTCAGTCCACCATCTCCTTCTCCCCCTCTCATCATCTGACTTCACTGCATCTGCAGACTACGCGAGAAGAGAGACAGAGCTTGGTGACATCGGATCCAGACTCGACATTTTGGACTTCAGACATGACAACGAGGGATTATTTGGGATTGATGACAAAGACTTGGTGTTGACGACATTCCCATCTCTCTCCCTCCTTTCGTCTGATTCCTTCCTCTTCGTCTGTGTATGTCTGGACCTGGCGTTTTCTTCCTGTGTACAGCGCCAGGCTCCTTCACACCTGGTGATGGATACGATGTATGTTTGGTCTGYGTTCAAACATTGATTGGGCTAGTTATTAGTATCCTAGCATTCTGCTTCGCTATTTGATACTACGTGAATGAGGTCAGTCCCGGTCAGGTCAGGTTTTGTATCAAAGTCTTCCCTGCGCTATTCAGCACCTTTTGTATGTATGAGAATGCACATTGTCTGTCGAGATTCATCTCGCACTGCATTGTCCATTCTGTCCTTTTCATCACATTGCAGATCCTCGGTTATTACGTACATGGCATATCTGTGCATGTAACACTGTCTGACTACTGCCCAATGCTATACTCTCTGGCCGTTAGCTCAATTTAGTACATTGTCAGAGGGGCGTTAGCAGAGAGGAACAATTTGTCGCTGTTAGCCCAATCTTTCAGTCTGGCCGTTAGCCCAATGATTCATTGTCTGGCTACCGTCTTCACCCGAATAGAACGCCCGGTCATTATTGCTGCATCTGGACTGAAAGTTTGGCCAAATGCAGCTATAATGACCGGGCGTTCTATTCGGGTGAAGACGCTAGTAGCCGAGTCATAGAGAGTGTGTGGTTGTTATGCCCAATCGTGGAGAGTATGTGGTCGTTAGCCCAATGGTAGCGAGTGTCTGGCCATTAGCCCAATAGTAAATTGTCTGGCCCTTAGCCCAGCTGCCCGTTAGCCCAACTCGCAAATTGTCTGGCCCTTAGCCCAGCCGTAGACTGTCTGGCCGTTAGCAGAATGGTACACTGTCCATCAGTTAGCCAATAGCCCAATGCTACACTGTCTGTCCCTTAAGCCCAGCGATACACTACACACTGTCCTGTCGGGTAGCGGTGTCCCATTGCACCCATAAAGCACTGGAAACAGAGTCCCGCGTCCCTTACATCAAATTTACTCGCTCAACGCCGCTCTTCGTTATTGTCGATAGATCCTGAGACAGGGGGATTATTTGCTAGTAACTGCGACCTAACGGGAAGCATTTACCTCTGCTGCACCCCTGTTTTCTTAAGGCCAACTAAGGGCATAATCACAGAAGAACTTTTTCCACTTCTCTGTGGCCGTAATACCGGTTAGGTGCATACTGGCCAGGTCGGAAAAGCTGTCAAATACGTTGCAGAAAGCCCTCATGTGAGTATGCCCTCAGGCTACTATTACTGGAAGATCATAAGAGCATTGATTGCTTCCCTTTGGGAGGATTATCCTCACTGGACTTTTGTGCCTTTTTCAAGTTTTTCTCCAATTATCTCTGGTGCAACCCTTCTGATGCAATCAATGCCATCAGGAATAGGGTATACCCCTTTCTGGTGCAATCAATGCTATCAGGCGTACCAATTTCTGATGAGGTTTTTTCTGCTGAATTGGTGCAGAATCTATTGTAGGGAGATTTTTGGGTGCATTCGATGGCCTGCTTAGAGTGATTTTTGCCGGTTGGCTGCTCTTTTTATTTTCCTTTTTTTTTTAAAACGGTTGACTGTTGTTAGTTGGTAGTCTTAAGTACTATTTAGTATTAACCAATCCCTTAGTATGAGTCTTTCTCCTTCTATTGTGCCCTACATTTCCATTTCCTAGTTTAATAAAGTTAATAAACTTTAATTTGTGTGAATTTCTCGGTGATTTCTTCCCTTCTGTCTGCAGCCCCGTGGATCTTTCTTTTTCTGTTCAATGTTATTCAACTTATTCTCCATAGGGCATGTATTTCTGTCTCTAGTACTTGTTTTATGATGATGAGTTGGAGTTGGTTTCTTCTGTATTGCTGCGATCCTTGAAAGTCGTACTACACCTTCTTTTCCAAATGGTCCATAAGGTCCCCTTTCTGATGAGGGAAAAGAAGAATAGATGGTCAAACCCTTTCACTGGGGTGGGATTGCTGCTTGTCGAGGAGTACCGTTTCTCGATTGATCGTTACTCTCTTGATTGGAAGTTTGTTCCAGGTGAACTCTATGTCCTGTTTACAACGCTTTTTGGATTTTTTTATTTTTTTTTTTTTTTTTTTTTTTTTTTTTTTTTTTTTTTTTTTTTATTTTTTTTTTTTTTTTTTTTTTTTTAAATGAAAGCCCTCTCGCGAGGCCTCCATCGTGGCGGTGGTAAGAGAACCACCAGGATTGAGGGTTTGGCTGTTGAACTGCTCTGTCGATTGGTGGGGAGCGGCACCTGCTTGAAACCGGGTTCAGCGTTGCTGCAGATACATCAATCAGGTACAATGTTGGGGCTGTAGCCCTTGGTGTTTCTAGTCTAAGGCACCCTCAATCCCGTGGAGCTGCAAATGGCCCTTTTCCCTTTCTGAGGCGCCTAATCATCTGGCACAGCCCTTCCACAGCCCCCCTGTGTCACTGGTAGCCTCGTGTCAGCGGGGACCACCTGTGTGTGATGGATGATCTTAAACCCTTCTAAAACCCTCTAGCCTTGCTTCTCTGATACAGGCCCTGTGAGACATGGCATGCGTTTGGAGGTGAGAGGGCCGGTCGCTTTGGTTGTCGGGAGTGAGCACTAAGAGCAGTGACGAGTTTACTAAGGATCTGGTCCCGTCTGCTCCCCTTGCATGTCACCAGTTTGGATCCCGTTCGGTATCTGCATCGCGCCCCCGACCCCGACTCTGTCTCAGGGGGCACGCGGCGTGTTCTGTGTCCTCGGGCGGCATCCTGAGGTGTTGGTGGAGATTGTACGGTGTACATGGTCTCCTGCAGTCTTCTCACCGCCAACTCAATCACTGGCCAGGGAAGTTTTTTCAATTAAAATAATAATAATAATAATAATAATAATAATAATAATAATAATAACAAAAATAATAAAATAATAATAGTAATAATAGTAATAATAGTAATCATAATCATAATCATAATCATAATAAAAAATTATTAAAATAATAAAATGAAGCAGTGGTGGAGTGAAACAACCAAAAAAAACGTTCAGCTGTGGTTGAATGATTCTTAGGTTTCTGGGTTGCAGACTTTGCACCATGTTTGATTATTTATCATCCTTCTTCTTCTTCTTCCTTTTTTTTTTTTTTTTTTTTTTTTGGCACTGTGTTGGCATGTTGATCATTTATCGTCCATTTAACTCCATTATGAATAATATGAATCTTATTAAATGAAAAATCGTTATTGTGATGCTCAGTATTACTCACCAAAATCGAGGGGGATCCGACCGAGAAGGGCATACTCTGCAACAGACATGGAGGAAGCGAAAAGCACCATAAACATGCTGGTTGATGTCGTCACCTGAAGAAAAGCAAAAAACAAAAAAAAAGAGAGCAACCAAAGTCAGAAAATACTGAAGAGAAAGAAAGAAGAATACAGACGACGATGAAGAAGAAAACTCGGCCCAACAATGAAACAGTTTTACTGTTTTTTACCTCTATAGCAAGCAACATGGAGCACAATAGATCCATTATTTCCCTTTCTTAAGTATCTTTACTTTAGTTTTCTTTGGGGTACCCCTTTTATCTGTTCTTGCAGCTCCCCTTTCACTATAATGCCTCTCACGTACAAGGTTGCCCATGTTGATTGTGGTTGAGTGCCCGACATCGCCATGTGTCTTAACGACACACTTACAAGTTATGATAGGAGGCAGAGTAAGGGGGGGGGGGGAACTCCTGTGCATTTTTCTTCAGATCTTCAGTTTATATTTTCCCTGTTCTCTTAATGATGCTCATTCGTATGCATTTATGTGTGTTTTTCAAAGGTCCCCAAATTCTCTCTTTATCCGAAGCACAAATCATCACAAACCATCCATAAAACAAAAAAGGTACAGATACTAGATAGGCAATATATCAGAAAATGTGGTCAAGCGGCAAGTGCCCACACACCCGTCTGCTGCCGGAGCGGCACACTCGCACAAATATATTATACACTATAAAAGGGCCAAGGGCATAAGGCGAAGCACTGGCACTAATACTTTTTCGACTCACTCATGTCTCCATCATCTCCATCACTGAATGGGTAGACAAACCCCATTTCACTTTTTTGTCTGGGCCCTGGAGGGAGGGAGGGAGGGAGAGAGAGAGAGAGAGAGAGAGAGAGAGAGAGAGAGAGAGAGAGAGAGAGAGAGAGAGAGAGAGAGAGAGAGAGAG